GAAGGGCTCGGTTTTGCCACAAACTAATCCAATACAACCAAAAGCTAGCCTTTCCGACACCATTGTCCTGCGACACGTCTCCTTGTGTTTGTGTCACTCACTTGCATCTTCTTCAGGTTCGGAAAGTCCCCCGGGGAAATCTGGTGCTCCCGCTCAATCCGGGCGTAGATCTCCCCCAAATTGTTCACCAGCTCCTTCTTCTTGTTGTCTTTGCCGAACACCGAGGGCATCTCCTTCTTTAAGGAGCTAATGATGTAGGCATGGACCTGAGAGTGGAAGAGGGCACGTTTATGAAGGCGAGAAGAACAACAACAATAATAACGACGATATAATCCCTTCCAACCCAAAGTGACCCGTGTTGGGTAATTTTCAAATAGGAAAAAGTATTTACAAATGTAGATCGACAACCAGAACAGTTTCAGCAGATCAGAAGTTTCTTCAGTGTAGCAAGGGAGTGAAAGGAGCTTCACCAACAACAACAACAACAACACTTTGTTTATATTCTGCTCTGTCTCCCCGTGAGGACTCAGGGCGGATTACAACATATACAGATAGGAAAACATTCAATCCCTTTAATAACAGGAAAATAACAATGACACACAAATATCCAGAATAAAGATAAAGGCTTCCCCTCTCATCTCCGGCTTCTGAAGGCGGTGCTCAACTCTGGCCATGGGGAAATGCTCTAGTTCCATTTCCAAGCCAAGGAGCCTGTTGCCCGTAGACACCTCCTGGTCGTGTTGCCAGCATGGCTGCGTGGGCTCCTTTGTTACCTTCCCACTGAAGCAGTACCTATTGATCTACTCACATTTGCATGTTTTCGAACTGCTAGGTCGGCAGGAGCTAGGGCTAACAGCAGGAGCTCACCCCAACCCGCAGCTTCGAACCGCCAACCTAGAGATCAGCAGATTGAGCAACACAAGGGTTTAACCTATTGCGCCAACCGCAGCCCCAATTAAAGGAATAGTCAAGCTTTAAAAGTTATAGAAGGCTTATTGAAAGAACGACATTTCTACAGAGGAAAGCTAGAGCCAAGCTATCTAACTATCTCTCCAAAGCAGACATCTTGCCTCTCTCCATGCTCACAGGAGAAGAATAAAATTTGAAAAAAGTTGAAGTTTGCCCATGCCTGGACTTGACTCTGCTTGTATATTGCTCTACTGCTGCGCTCAAGAAGCTTCTGATCTGCTAAACTGCTGCTGTTGCTGCTTTGCTTTTTCAAATGCTTTTCCCTTCCTGGAACGAATGAATCAGGCCCACCTTGGCCAGCCGTGCACGCTTGATGAGGTCGTTGAGCTTGCGGAGGGCGGCGTTGCGGGGCAGGCTCTGGATGTCCCGGAAGAGGTCCTGCTCCTCGGCCTCGAAGAGCTTCCGGTTGTCAGGGATGAGGAGCGGGTGGGACCAGAAGGAGCCGATGTAGACGCGCACCACCTCGGGGGTGTTGACGATCTTGCCCAGCGACCACATGAGCGCCCCGTAGACCCGCATCAGCTGCTGGGTCTCGATCTGGTCGGCCTTGTTCAGCACCACCCGCATCTTGTCCTCGTGGTTCTTGAGGGCCTTGATCACCTCCGAGAACTCGTCCGAAATGTCCAGCTTGTGGGCGTCGAAGAGCAGGATGATGCGGTCCACGCGCTCCGCAAACCACTCCAACACCGCCGCAAAGTCGTATCCTGGGGAAACGGGGGAAAGAAGGGGAGGAAAGCTTTGTAAGGGTGGCGTATGCAAACTTGGGCCCTCCAGGTGTTTTGGATTTCAACTCCCACAATTCCTAACAGCCTATCGGCTGTTAGGAATTGTGGGAGTTGGAATCCAAAACACCTGGAGGGCCAAGTTTGCTGATGCCTGGTATACACACACACACACACACACATCAACATCTATAGTGAAAAGATGGAAGGAAGCAGGGAGTCATAACCGGCGGCTAAATTAAAGTAAATCCATTCCGCATTTTAGTGTGAACTTTAACCACCCATGATGCCAAACTCTGTCCCCAAAATGAATCAGCCGTTGCAGAGGTCCTTCAAACTCTGGACTAAACACTAGAGTAGAATTCAGCACTTCAATGATATAGAAGTTGGCTGTTTTAAAGTTCAGACTAAAACCCAGAGCGGACCGACATAGGTAATACCAACCATTCAAGTTTAGAAGTTGAAAGGAACAAAAATAAACCTTCAATGATTGTCTGAAAGCAAAACAGGGTTGGACTAGATGGCCGCTGGAGGAAGGAAGATGGAAGAGGAAGGATGGAAGGAAGAAAGGAAGGAAAGAAAGAAAGAGAAAGAAAATCAAGAGAAAGAGAGGAACTATTTATTATTGGAATAAAGAGGAGGAGAGGGTAGCAAGGAAGGGGGAAGAAGAAGGAAGGGAAGAAGGAGGAAGAAGAAAAGAAGGAGAAAGAAAATACAAGAGGAATAGAAGGAAGATGGAAGAGAGAGGAAGGAAGGAAGGAATAGAAGGAAGATGGAGGAAGGAAGGAAGGAAGGAAGGAAGGAAGGAA